GGTTTTGGGGTTTTAGGGTTTAAGGGTTTAGGGTCGGTGGTGGGGTATGGAATGAGAGGAAGTAGGGGTACCTCGGTGAGGGGCCCTTTTGATGAGGACCCCACTTTGCCTGGGACTGCACAGGCTTTGGGCTTGCTTTCTGTGCAGAGTTGAGGGTTTAGCCCACGACGAAGCCGGGCGTAAAATGCGAAGCAAGGTATGCACAGGTTCTTCAATCACGGGTCCAAATTCGAAGTCCTTCATTATCACAAGGATTGCAAGTTTTCGGATACATCTCGTTGGGGGCAGGCTTGTGTTTGCAAATGCCGGTTGAAGGGGAGCAGATTACCGAGAAACATGCCAAAACGATCCCGCCTGGACTCCCCCCATGCTCCAGCTTGATCTTTACAGAACTCAGAATGAACAGCGCGAAAATCACAAAGCTTCAAGATCCGCTGCTGGCCTGTCGCAAAGAAACGCCCAGCGGCTCATCCTGCAGCCCAGGATCCTAAACCCTAAACCCTAAATAGACCCTAAACCCTATAAACCCTAAACCCTCAATAAACCCTAAACCCTAGACCCTAAACCCTATAAACCCTCAGCCCTAAGCCCTAAACCCTACATGAAAAGCTCGGCCCGCTTTCGGTCGGTTGGGTTCCGTGCCCTTGTGCCACACTGGGAGGCTCAAAGTAATGTAGGGGCCTTAATAGTTACCTATACTATTTTGGCGGTTCCTCTGTAATAACTTATGACAATATATTAGTACATAACTATAGTATAGTATACCCCGAAACCTTCTTCTTAATTATGAAGGCACTACATTACCTTTGTTTGTTCCAGGGCAATGCCTGCTGGACGCAACCTGAGACCCGAACAAAACGAGGTTACACTGATCCACGACCTGATGTGGTCATATAGGGGCCTTAATTGTTAGAATAATGTTTGGGGGTATATTATACTATAATTCTCAAAGGAACCCCGAAATAGTATTCGTACATATTTAGGCCCCTATATTAGCAGGTTGCCAGAATTCGAACGCAAGCCTACAGATGCCTCCAAGTTCTTTGGCCTGAGATGGCGTGCGTAGGGAAGAAACTAAGCAAAGGTCACGCCTCGACAACCGATCGCATGGGTGAAGGGCTCTTGTAGTATATTACATGTCCTCTTGCATGCATGAGCACCGGGTTGGATATCTGCCATACGAGGGAACCAGATCTTGTTCAACTGGCTTTGCAGCTCTGGTGCGGGCTTAGTGAACTCTGATGTCTTATCGATGCTTATGGACTTCTGGTATCCTCGCAGCAGCTCTGCATCAGAGCGACCAGAAGTTCCTGTGATGTCCCCTATCGCGCAACTGCATACAACCTTTTTCTGCAAGTCAGCCCTCTAAACTCTCGGATCCGTTGACGAGTTTAGTGTTCAGGGTTCACCTGGCCTGGCAATGCATATCGGTACACGAAAGGGCGTCTGCAGAGGTCCCGACTGCATTGCCAGCAAACACTAAACCTGAGTGTTGATCACCATCCATTGCAGCATGGCAGTGCAATGGTCAAAAAGGCTTTACGTAGCCCCCAACCCTGAACGCTGAAATAGCAACCCGGAGCCTGCAACGCGCAAACCACCGATAAAGCAGGCGCGACATATATGAGAGAAAACCTGTAATACTAATAGCAATTTTAATCACAATCATAACAATATATGAATAGTAGTAACATTATCAATAATCATAACTGTAATAATCTGTCTGCCTCGGCGAGGTAGCCGAGGTCCGTGTCGATCTCTCGCAAGTCGGCCTCTGCAGCCTTCCAGAGGTAGTTGAAATCGGTGTCGATCTCTCGCAAGTCGACCTCTGCAGCCTTCCGAAGCATTCAAGCAGCTTGGAATGGAATATCAGAGGCAACTCTGTCCGTTATCTATTCACTGCATGCTGCACCCGTGGATATGCAGATTAATTCAGACATGGCTGTTCACACAACATGAATATGTTGACACTCTCGCTGATGTTCACATTCGTCTTGTCAGAAACGAACTCATAGTCAAGTAAAAGGAGAACAGCAGCCGATACACCGGTGAGGCCGTCAGGTCCAGGGTTTATGGCAAGCCTGCAGTGGCCATCCCACCTTGTAGCCACGGTCTTTCCGCGAGGTTCTCCTTCACTTTGAATTGCTGTTCGAAGTGATGGGGGCCGAGGACTGTTGGAGTTCAAACTTTCGGATCCCATGTTAGCGTTTCGGCACTGGCTCTTACAGCCGCGCATGAGGGTTGCATGTTTCTGTCAGACGGCAGCTGCAATATGAACACCGAACTCTTTTGTTCTGCCGGGCCTTTCGCTCGACATCTTGTTCGTCTGCTTGCCCTGCAACCTTGGCAGAAAGGTGACACTGGGAGCACCCCGCCCGCCTGCATCGGAGGTTCAGAGGCCCTTAGGATTTAGGGTTTAGGGTTTAGGGTTTTTAGGGTTTAGGGTTTAGGGTTTAGGGGGGCTGCTAATCCAACATCCAAAGACGGGATAGGCGTTGACATTCTTGGGACATAGCTTTGTGTTCCCATCATGGTTGCTGGCGTTGTCCATTGATTGTCTTGTACGCCAGTTGCCGTTGACGCTGTCGTTTGTTATTCTTCCAGCTTGTGGTGCTGGTGCTGGTGCTGGTGCTGGTGCGGTGGTGGTGGTGGTGGTGTTGGTGGTGGTGGCGGCGGTGGTGGCGGCGGGGGTGGTGGTGGTGGTGGTGGTGGTGGTCGTGGTGGCGGTGGTGATGGCGGTGGTAGTGGTGGAGGTGGTGGTGGTGGTGGTGGTGGTGGGGGTGGCAGTGGTGGCGGCGGTGGTGGTGGCGGTGTTGGTGGTGGTGGCAGAGGTGGCAGCGACGTTGGTGGTGGTAGTGTTGGTAACGTTCGTTCATCCCGTTCAGGGCTGGGCTGCCATGTCCTATACCCTTCATGCGCGCATCCCTGCTTGACATTTGGTAGCCCAGAAACTTAGCAAGGATCTCCTTGCCGGCCGCACACGTTTCTGATGTCTGACCTCACAGCGCGGTCTGCACTGCACAGCCTTTAAGATAGGGTTTGCAAGGGAGGCGGGAGGGGCCCTTATAACCCATGCCGCTCCCACAGTCGGACCTGGAGGGACAGATTGCTTTGCTGCCCGCGACTCCTTGTGTCTTTTTCTGCACCTGAGGCAGGCAATCAACCGGCAGTGCCTGTTACCAACAAGACCCGCTGTAACCATTGATTGCACTCTCTGGCCACATTGGTCTACCCTTGAACTGTGCAAGGTGATGCTCGAACCTGCTACACCTCCCAGGCTGTCCATCGTTCGCTGCTTCGCGAGCCCTATCCATCCTGTCCGACCATGTAGTCCAATATCTGAATGACACCTGTGTGTCTCTTTACTACCGTATTACGGCATGCTGCAGTTGCTATGGCAAATGGCTGTATACTCAAGCACACTGCAGTATATCGGTAGAAGCAGCTGCACAACAGCATCCTGAGCTCTGAACCGGGAAACTCTGTAAGACCAGTCGTATTCGAGACTTCTCCGCATGTTTGGGGTCATGAACTGCTCATAAGGACGACGAGGCCAAGAAAGGTTGACCGGTTTTAAGTATGACACAAGTAGTTCCTGTCACCAGCGTCTATAGCGAGGGTGAGGACCTGATTTGAGATACAATGTCTAACTACGGGAAGCGGGCTTTGGAGTACTCCATACTACACAGGATTTTGATGTTTTGTGCCTAGTGTTTGGGTCTTCGCATTAGGCAACATGTTCCTATCCCGTTCCTTCGAATCTCGTAGTGCGTCGAAATAGAAGCCAGGCCACCATCTTTCAACCACCTCGAGCGCCACTGGAAGCAGCTCCTGTCCAAAGCAGTCATCGTGGGGATGCTCACCCTCTCTAGGAGGGTTTTTGAGATGTGAAACAAAAGTCAAGATGCTGCAATTCCAAAACCCCGAGCGAGGGCGAAAGGCTTCTTCGGCGTCTCGAATTTGGAAGTCATATGGCCAAGAATTTGTGCCGGGGCTTCCGAAAAAATGATTTCAGGACTTCGGTGCTACCTGCAATTCCAAGTTTAGAGCCTCGGGTTTGGAGGGAAAGGGTTTCAGAACCTTCTGTGCGCTGCTAGGCTTCGGTTTGGGACCTGACAGTTGTCGTTATCTGTATCTCAAAAACCCTGCGGATATTCTTGCTGCATGGTCCCTGTATACTTGCACTACAGCGCTCGATGCTTACATTGAACAGACCCCTTTAGTTGCTGAAGTCTGGATGTGCAGGGGGTGTATGGGAGGTATAGGGGTGTGTAGAACAGGGGCTGTGCAGCGGTCTACAGGGGTGTTTTTGGGATACACTAGAAGCTGTAAAGTATAGGGGTGTATAGGGGATGTGGAGGAGGGTCTATGGGGGGGGGGGGGGGGNNGGGGAATGGCGAGTGTATGGAGGGTGCACAGAGGGGTGTGGGATGTATGGGGGTGTATGATGGGTTGTTGTTTTTGCTGCTGTGGTGCTGGTGTTAGTGTTGCAGAAGTCGCCCCAAATCCTGATGCCATAGGGCCATGGGGTCTAATCCACCAGACACTGACGCGGCGAATCGACAAGCCAAAATGCCATCTACATCTTTTGGGGCCGTTTGTTCTCTACCCTGGATTCCAATACTCAAAGCGCCCTTCTGCCGCGCCCCCCCACAAAACTTCCCCCCCCCACCCCCAAACAAAACTGAAGCCCCAAGCGACGTCCAAAATCCCAAGGAAGCAAAAGAGAAAGCTCGGGTCTCCTCCTGGCTGCCCAGTTTTGTGTTGTCGGCCACAAAGGCCGCCAACACCACCGACCAGTCGACCTCAGGTGTGTCTTCGGTTTAGGGTACATAGGGTTTAGTGGTTTAGGGGTTTGAGGGTTTAGGGTTTAGGGGTCTTGGAGCTTTTTGTAGATAGGGCCTTGTAGAGAGGTTTCATGCGGTTTCTGTGAGTGTCTATCGAATTTCCGCAGGGCCTTACACAGTTTTGAGGTTCAGCATTCAGGATTAGCTTTCTTGCAGTATCCCTTACAGTATCCAAAATAGAAACCCTTCAACATCGGCAAGGCTTGCAAGACACGTCATAAATGCTACCGGGGCTTGATAGATTCATATGGAGCTTTATAGTTCAGGGCGCAGGTGTATTGTTGCTCGGGCTGAGGGCTTGTCAGGTATAAAAGCAGTGGGTGTTCGGTTTTGTGCTCGACGATTCGAAAGACTTCTGGCGGCTTTTGCGGGTGGCCCTACGTTGCGAGCTTCGCCTATGCCTTGGGAAACTTGGGCCCCTTTTGTCGGGTCCTGGAATACCTATACTATTTTAGGGGTTCCGTATCATAACTATAGTGTCATATACCCCAAAATGTTATCATATGCCCCAGAACCCTACACTCCCAGCAAGCTCTGTAACTTTGAACTGAAGGCCAGGGCCTCGGATCAAGGACAGACCCTAACCCCAGAGGTGCCTACTATATAGGGTACTAGAGCCCCTAGGGCCCTATATAGTAGGTACCTGGAGGGTCAGGGAGAAGACTGCATACTTGATTACAAAAACATCATGACATCGGTGAGAGAGTGGAATGCAACCCAATGATAACTGAAGCGACGCGCGCTGTAGCGATGGATAAGGCTAGGCAGCGCTGGACAGTGAGAAGTCAGCTCAAAAACCTGAAATCAGATTTTACGTTCATCTGTAGTGTTCCTACCTGTAGCCCTACGGGCCCTACTTATAAGTGACAACTCCCCACGAAGCTTCAAGTAATATAGGGGCCGTGACAATTGCAACAGTGTTTTGGGGTAGGCTGTACTCTTATTGAATAAGAATCAAATGGGAATAGCCGTGTTGGTCCCCATTGCTGCTCCAGCCGCCGAGTCAAACCACCCGTATTGCGACACTTTTTGCAGCACAGCGGAGGCGATGCACTGCAAGACCTCAGGGAAGCCGCGGGTTGGGGTGGAGGGTTCAGGGTTGAGGGCCCGCAGGAATGGATGCAGAACTGAAGGGCCCAAAAGATATCACATCAAGCCAGAGCAACTGTGATACTAAGAACGACAACCTTTACAGTGACACAATAGATATGCCAAGACTTGCCAGCAAACTGACAAGTCCAAACCGAACCATGGACAATGCGACCACAAAGAGGTCAGAGGAATAGGACAATACTGATCATCGAAATACTGAGAAGAATACTGTTCAATACTGATATAGCAATGCACAACACCATCATGACCATCCTCACACTGGGTAGTGTTGTCGACTGGTATTGTATTTTTTATAGCCATCGCGCCAGGATGGCCCTTCTACAAGTACTGATCTTTCGGATTTTTGGCCTGGTAGCGAACACCCAAGGCCACCAGGCTGCCCCCTGACCCAAACCAGCAAACTCCGGGAAGAAACGCTTACAGTTCCGGTTTCGGGTTGAAAGCAGAAGGCTTAGGGTTGAGGGCTATCGTTACAGATTACTGTAGAGAGTTTTGTGCCTCGGGTTCAGGGGATACCTCAATGCAAACCATGAACAAAATCCGTCCTACACACTGCACACACCAGACGACCAGAGATAGACAGAAGCCCAAGACGCGTGCATGAATCCACTGAGGCCGGGAACAAACTCCTCAAGGCACCAAAGAGCCAATAGCCATTCATAGCCTGAGAGGCGCCTAACCGACGACACTAGTCCCTTTTTCCCCAAGGCACCCAATCAGCACCCAAAACCTGGCACACCCAAACGGGCCCAGAGCCTCGAACCCTGAAAGACGCTTAGGGTTTAGGGTTTAGGGTTTAGGGGTTAGGGTTTGGGGTTTAGGGTTTAGGGTTTAGGGGTTTGGGTTTGGGTTTAGGGTTTAGGGGTTAGGGTTTGGGGTTTAGGGGTTATGCCAAGCCAATGGCCTTCTCGCAGGACATGATGTGGAGATCCGGGTGTTTCTCCAACGAGTGGGCGGCATCTCGAAACCTTCGGAACATGGGAGTTGGGATTAGGGGGACCCTTGGGGATATAGACCCTCTCAATAAGGGGCCCTGGCCAGAAGTAGGGTTCAGAAGGGTCCCCTTTGAGGGGTCTCCCTAATACTACCTAGGAGAACAGGCTCTCTTTCAAGCGGCTTGGCAGCCTCCGGTTTCAAGATTTTGGGGGGTTAACTATAGGGCATCGAGATGTTGGGTGGTCTTGCTTTTTGTTTGGGAAAGGGTGCTGCTACAGGCTGTGCGAAAAAAAACTAGCTCTTATGGGATCTTTTGCATGTTCGATAGCCTTTTCTTCGGGTTTCTATAGGGTTTAGGATCCCGAAATTGGGATTGCATTTATTTGGGGTCCTGGTGTGAGTGTCCTGCAATGACAATCACACTGACACGACCACCCTCGGCCTTAACGCAGGGAAACACTGACAAAGAGCAGTTACGATTTACCCAAAAAGGCGGGCTACAAAGCAAGCAGCAAACCTGCTCACGACGCAAATGGCCCCAAATCCAGAGCCAGATAAAGCCAACTTCAAGCAGAGACTTGCCGAGCACGACTACGATGCAAGCAAGTCGGGGGATCAGGCCCTGGGTCCCAACAGGAGGATAATGTAGGGGCCTTCATAGTTAGAAATAGGGTTTTGGGGGTTCCTCATTACTTATAGATGTATAATATTATCATACCTATTCTATTAATTATTAAGGCCCCTATGTTAGTCATCGAGACTGCTTCCCTTGTACTACATGCTGGGATTGCAATCTAACCAGTTGCGACACATGACTGTTGTTGTCGCCTGCTTTTCTGCACGCTTACATAGATGGTGACTATCATTCATACTGTTTCTGCAGAGCCTCACAAGGTGCTAATACTAAGTGTTCCACTCATGATGCATGTGCTTCAGGATGTTGCTGGATCGTTTCATGCAACTTACTTTAATTATGCTATGACACCCGACCTCAAAAATACAGTAGCTAGAGTATCAGATGAAAGGTTGTCGTTCGTAATGCTTCCGCGGACCCAATGGTCTGAAAGCCGGGCACAGATATCTGCGCGGGTCTGCGTCCAGAACCCAGAACCCCAACCGAAGCCGCAAAGGACCGTAAACCCTGAAAGGATCGCACAGGTCGCCAAAACCGCCAAAACCTAAAAAATCCTAAAAAGCCCTTCAACCATCCCACAAAGCCTTTTCTAGAAACCTTATTCAAGCCCCCAAAAACCCCTTAACGTTAAGCCCCAAGCCCTGAACCGGAAGAGAGTCGCACTGCATGGGCGAGGGGCCACCGCCGAATGTCCTTTTTGGCACATCTTCTTGCTTCCTCGCCTCGGAAGGTCTATAAGGGTGGTTGTCAAAATTACGGTCCCTTTTTGGGGTACCCTGAATAATAGGTGCCGTATTATAATAAGGACCCAAACAGGGACCATAATTTTGACAACCACCCATGCACTGCACCAAATGAGGGTTTCCGATACTGGGGGACCTACCATATGTAGGGATCCTTTTCTTCCGGATCCTGCCTTTTTTACGCTTCTATCTGGGGTCTACGCCCTTGTATTCCGAAATCCCCTCATCCATCCTGACATCTCAGGCAGCCGGCCAGGCAAGTACAACTCCGCATTTACGAAGGCCTGACGGGGAAGGGGTTTTCAGTTTAGGGTTTGGGGCTTTATACAGCGTTCAGGTCTGTCTTCACTGCGCATAAGACGTAAGCTCCAGGCAGTAGCAGGTGTTGAAAAGGTTGATGGTTGAAGGCTCCAGGGATGAATCTTCAGAGATGGGGGTTTGGGATCATGGTTTAGGGTTTAGGGTTTAGGGTTTAGGGTTTAGGGCTCTTGGAGATTAGTACGGTTTCGTGAGATGGGTTTCCTGCCCACGCAGGATCTTGACTGGCCTCCGCGTGTTGCTTTCGTTTTTGTGTCCATCCTCGGGGGTTCCAATTTGAAGCGACTTTGGGTGTAGGGTTTAGGGTTTAAGGTTTAGGGGTTTAAGGTTTCGTTCGCAGTTGGAACATTTCGTGGGGGAGTACCTCCTAGGTGTTGCGCCCTAAACCCTAAACTGGCAGAGGGCCATATCTTCCAAGTCGCCCCCTTCAAACTGTGATCTTCGTAGAGCAAGGAGAGTCAGGGATTGCTGAGATGGACTAGGACTGAAGCCCTCAAGCCGAAACCCTGAAACGTTTCGGCCCAGCACGCCTAAACCACATGATCCTTATAAACCGAAAAACCTCATAACGGTCCTCAACATCCTGAACAAAAAACCGCCACTTGAGCCTGGTCCAGGACTGCACGAAAAGGCATCGCTGGCTGAACCAGCTCTTGATCCAGAAATTTACTGCGAAATGGAAATAAGAACTACACGTCCTCAAAGCGCATACATGAATATATGCATTTATGTAAACATTCACGATGCTTGCTGAGTGTTTCCGTGTTCACCTGCGGGCCTCACGGTTTAGCTCCGACGCTCCGTATACGTAGTAAAGCACACCAAGCTTGGTTAGACCTGACTAGTCGGCCGATGCATTGTAATTGGTAGGCTGCGACTAACGCCGTCTGCTTCTCTGCTCCAACTCCTTCTACTCTGCTCTAGCTCTCTGTATTCCGCGCTGTTCCAAGAGAATGCCGGGTCCTGTCGCGGCTACCTTTGTGCAGCTCAAGCTGCGGTGCCTGCCTTCAACCACGGAGTGAGACTGAATTGCCGATTGAAGAAGTCCACCCTAAGCACTGAAAAAGCCTAAGTTGAAACATGCCTTCAGTGCCCCTTCATGGCCTGCCCTCTCAACTTCCACAGGAAGTGGACTCGCTTCAACCGCTAAGCCGGCCAATCTCACTTGCGGCGCTTGTGAATAAGTTGGAAAAACCTGATGGATCCCTAAACCCCCAGGTACCTACTAGTAGGTACCTGGGAGGTTAGGGGATTGCCAGTCATGTCGGACTCATGGAAAAATGCATGGAACCGATACTCAAAGGTTGGACTCTGCCATATCTCGATATCCAAGCCCCATCTGCTTCGAGACTGAACAACATCGTAGCACCGATCAGGCTATGTACCTAACCCATCCGTGGGATACACTTCGTTTGTATGCGCCTGACAGTTATGACTCAGGTGGATTGAAACGAGTGCTCATGCTATCTGAGCCTTCTTCAGCTATTCCTGGTTCTTCTTCTTCTTCTTCTTAGTCTTGCTCTTCCTGCTATTGCTGACTTCTACGACTACGACCACGGCGACGACGAGCAAACGATCCACGACAGGTGCCGCCGTGGTGCCGATCGAAGACCGACCACGGCAAATCTGCCTCTTTGACCTGCGACGACGCGGAAGAATCATCCTGAGGTGCCCTAAACCCTCGACCCTCAACCCTAAACCCTACACCCTAAACCCTGATAAACCCTAAACCCTACAGGCCCTAAACCCTCGACCCTCAACCCTAAATGGCTATGTCGCTAGACCTTGGGAAGGCTTTGGGCTCAGCCTGCCCGGTCCAATGCGAACGGTTCGGATCTTCAGGAAGCCTTAATGTAGGGGCCTTAATAATGAGAATAGGGTTTAGGGTTTGGGACTTGAGGGTGTAATGTAGGGGCCTTAATAATTAGAATAGGGTTTTGCAGCCCAGTACACTATAAATATAATAAGGAACCCCAAAATAATACTTGTAATTATTTAGGCCCCTATAGTAGCACTGTTTAGGTTGTCCACCTTGGAACTTTTCATGGCAATGACGATGATTGTTGAAGAACATGATGGTGATGATGAGGACGCCACTCCATCCGCTTATCCAAGGGTTGGTAGTAGTAGGGTGCTATGTATTCTCTTCATATGTTGACGGCGGCGATCCTTATCAACTACAGTAGCAAAGTCTAGTTTTGTGGTTCGTGGCTGTTGCTTCCCCGAAGGGTCCATGTACCCAAAAAGTATATACTTTGGCATTAATGTGGTCCCTATATAGGTACTCTAGGGCCAATGTATATACTATTTGGGTACATGGACCCTTAGGGTTCTAATTCAGAGCCACTTCTCGATCCACTGGCCTGGGACTTGTAGTCCTCCAGGCGATTCTCCACATCCTCCTCGTACTCTTTGAACAGCTCCTGCTTGGAGGTTCATGGGTAGTTATAAGTCAAGTTATAAGTTCCCTAGTATGGGTTATAACTACAGTTACCCTACTTATAACCCCACTCATAACTACCCATGAACCTCCAAGTGGACGGCAGGGGCCTACGGACACCTGGGAGTCTGCGAAAAGAAGGGAGGTCCCGCTACAGAACCCCAACGACTAGTTGGGCCCTTTGCTTCTAAGGACCCCAGAACTAAACACTGTATCCCGAAATTCTCAAGACTTGCCATACATGAAGATATCAACAATGCATGAATGTGCGGACTGGCTGTCTCAACACCAGCACTACTGCGCAGCCCAGACCGCAGCCTCTGGGGCCAATCAGCTGTCATCTGCAAGTTTCAAGTGTAACAAGTACATAAATGAATAGACAGACCCGAAGATAGGTGCTGTACTTGCCTGAAGCTAGACATTTAAAAGAACAAGCGTATCTATACAATAAGTAGACACACGCACACGACCGCATAGACCTTCATGCATCACTTCATGTAAGTATGTAACGATTTATCAGGACGTGCACGTGCCCCTCTGCGTCCCTCGCCAATTAACCAGGAACTCTCTGTTGACACCTCACAGTTCAGGCCTGTCCGGCAAAGACTTTGCAACGGTTTAGGGTTTAGGGTTTATGTCGGCATACTCCTGCAGGCCGAGTTCTCTGTAGATTTCCTTGATCTTGGACTCCTCTTGGCTGCCGACCTGCCGCACCATTGAACGAGGTCAGGAAGAACCAAGCACAAAGCACCAAAAGACATATGAAAAGCAACAACTACAAGAACAAAATCAAACGATGCCACCTCCACCATCACCAGGAAGAGTAGCAACGGCAAGAAGGCTGCTAATTCGCTCTCGCCACGACATCTTTGTCAGAGGTCTGTCAGAACTGCAGGCCAGCAACAAACACCGGAACAACTATCGTTGGTTCAAGATCAATTTTCGTATGCAAAGCCTTTTTTCATACGATTGGAGACTAAACAATTGGCTTAAGTACTCGAGCCTCCCTGAATGTGCGGAAAGTAGCAAGTGGAGCTGTGAGAGCAGTGACATCCCTTACAAGCCGCGCAAGCTTTATCCCTTCGGTCAGACACGACAACGCAACCACCAGGGCAACAGTTTCAACGACGCAAGATCAACAACGTTCTCTGCACGACCTCACATTTGCCATAGTGCTCGTCCAAGAATTTTATTGCCTGCAGCAGGGGAAGGTTCTGCACAGAAGTGCTTCAGAGTTTGGGATGGGCAGTCGTTGCGAATGCGTGGCTACCCTCGGTGTGGAAACACAAGCTACCTGTCTGTGGATGTTCTGTATTCAGTATTCAAGAGTAGCTCCATCTATCTTCCTAGACCTTGTTGTGCGTTAGTGAACAGACTTCTTGGGCAGACTCAGCTTTACTGGCCCTATCTGGCCCTGCTGCTGATGCTGCCCCTCCTCCTCCTCGTCCTCCTCCTGCTCCTACGACTACCACTCCTGACCCTACTATGAAAACGACTAGTGTTTGAGCTCCCCCAGGTGACTGCCGCGAGAAAGTCTCAGTCCGTGGCTTCTGACTTTGAGTAGTGAGGGCTTCTCGCTGGGTGTGGGTCTCTCTGGAGATTAGACGCTTGGCCGAGCGCCACCTAATTCCTTAATCATGAGGTCTGGGAAACCCTCGCGGCCTCCGGAGTGCTTTGCTCGTGGTAGGCATGGGCGAACAGCCAGCTGCACTTCTTGTCCTCCACGAGAAGTATCTTGAGGCGATCAGGTGAGAGTGCAAGTTGCAGTCCTGGATGTCAGTTCCAACCTCACGCCACACCAATTCATGACGTGCACAAAGCTGCGAGAACTTCTCTCTGAAAGACTGGCACACCCCACTCACCCCAGCCAGCAAAGGCTAACTCCGCCCGGTAAAAATTTAGCATGGGCTGGAAGTCCAACCTGCGGAAAGGTCTGACTCAACTGATACGAAGAAAGCTATAGGGACCTTTCTATTAGATTAGGGTTTGGGGGGGGTGTATTATACCATAATATTATAGAGCATATGTATGTGTATATATATATATATACATATGTAAATATATACTAAGAAATAAAAGCCAATATATATGTATATATATATATATCATAATACTGTAGCCTATATATATATATATATATGTTATACCATAACAGTATAGCCAATATGTATTCTAGCATAGTAATGTAGCCAATATACGTAGCCCTAATCCTGTAGACTGGGGCCCGCACTTTGCCGAGCACCTGGGTTGGAGTAGCTGGGCTTTGGGCTCTGAGGCTCCGAGAATCTACAACTTGGGGTCTAGGCTTAGGGCTTTGGGTTTAGGGCTTAGGGCTTAGGGTTTAGGGTTTAGGGTTTAGGGTTTAGGGCTTAGGGTGTAGTAACCATGACGCCAAGAATCAAAAGAGCAATCAGCTCAATAAGCAGTACAAGCTATGTGTCATAGTACCCACACATTCGCAGATACCGAGAATGCTTATCACTTCGAAGGCCGACACAGTTCGGAACCTTCACAAACGCGAGAGCCTGTCTGCCTAGGAAGTCTCGCATGAACCCTACCTATAGTCTCCATTGTAGTTCCTTTTTTGGGTTCAATCAATTCTGTATCAAGGATCTTATAAGGTAACCCCAAAAAGGAACTACAATGGAGACTATAGGTATCTTCAAACTCCAAACATGCTTCCCTCAAGCCCCCCAGCAAGGTTCATGTTCACTCTCAACTCTCCTCATAGAAATATCCGTGTAGGAAGCCCTCATCGAAGCCCGTAAATGAAGCCTTAGAATGACCAGCATCCTTATAATTATAGGAACCCTTATAGGATCCCCTAAAGGAGCCCCTTGAATTAAAGGAACCTTCATAGAAATCCAAGCCCCAAACAGAATAAAACCCAAACCCCAAACCCGAAATCCTGAACTCCAAACCCCAAAAAACGTAGCCCCAAACACTAAACTTAACCCAAAACATCCAAAACCCCAAAACCAAAAACCCCAAAAACCCCCAAACCCAAAAACCCTACACCCCAAAAACCCTAAAACCCGAAAGCCCAAATTCCGTGGCTGTCGGTCTTGAGGGCTTGAGGCAGGGAAGCCTCCGGACTCGCGAAGGCGTCCAAGTAGTCATCCTGGGCCTGACAGGAAATTAAGATAGGCATTAGTAGTTCATCATCATAGGGCTATAGGGCCTTTGGGTTTTGGGGTATATTATACCACA